AGTGGATCACTGCAACACTGTAGTATATCTGTAGTAGATTACTGTGACAGTGTGGTAAAGATACAGTGGATCACTGTGACACTGTAGCAGATCTAAGGTCACAGAGAATATGGTAAAACCACAGGAAGAGCGCCGATGGTTCTGTACAGCTACAGGAGGGGCTGGTAAATCTGCGACAGTGTGAAAACAGTTTAAGAGTGTGGAGTTATGATTAATGCAAGTGAAACCTGGGAAGCATGGATGCATGCTTTTAAAGAGTTAGTGCCTCTGACACAGAGACCGCTGTCCTTTTCCCTCAGTCCCTGAAGTATCTGTGGTTGGATGGGAGCAGATGGAATTACACCGCCTGGGCTCCAGGAGAGCCAAACAATTGTTCTGGAAATGAACACTGCCTTGAAATGAACTCTCACAGTGAGTGTGTCTCAGTATTCCGTCTGTACATGTCTCTGCTTGTCCAGAGTCAGTGTCCGTCTTTCCCAAAGCTTCTCTGTCTCTCTAAGTACGTCTTTTAATTCTGTCTGTGACAGGCCTGTGTCACTGCCTTTGTATAAATCTGTCTCGTCATTCTGTTTCCCTCTGTCACTGTCTGTCTCTGACGTTCTGTAAATCCGTCTCATTGTCCTCCCTGCCTTTGTCACTGTCTCTCTATCTCTCTGTCTTTCTGTATTGTGTCTGCATGTATATGCCCGTCTTTCTGTGTCTGCCTTTCTGCCCGTTTCTCTGTCTTTCTGTAAGTATGTCTAATTGGGTACCACTTTTTCATATACTGTAATTACACTGATAGAATTCTGTCTAGAATAATATTTCCCATACACTCATAGGATCCTGTCTCTAATAATACTCTCTTATATTATAAGTGCAAAAGTTCAATTTGCATAATAGGTACCTTAGTTGTGTTCTGTCCTCATTGACTCCAATGGGCTGATTGACAATCTCTGTCTGTCTTCTTACAGGGGACAAGTGGAATGACCTTTATTGTACTTCACCCAGGCCTTTTGTCTGCCAGCTGTCCCTCACTCAGATGGAGACGGACGATCCCAGCAGTGCCCTGTAGTCCACTGGGGGCTGGGGCAGGCCAGGGTACCCCTGCAGGTCTAGGTTATATCATCTCCTCTTCCCTGCTCCCTCTCCATCCTTTTAAACCACTCTGACGACAGCATCTCTCTACTTCCTCTGGGGAGGACACTCAGAGATCCAGGGGGGTGAGACGCCTGAGGTCCAGGACGGTAGGACACCTGAGGTCCAGGAGTCCAACTGCTCTGGCCAGTTCTGGCATACCCAGAGAGCTGATGTTCTTTAGCTCTTTAGTAACTCTGAATCTAGGAATTAAAACAGCTTGTTAACCAACTGACAGGCTTATTTGACATTCTGAAAAAAACAGGTGAAGTGATTCCCTTCAGGTTTTTGAGAATAGTGTCAATCAATATTGCTGATTGGCTGTTTAGCCAGTGACACAGGATCTTCTGAGTATTACTGGGCTCATCTGTGTGCCTGTGTCCCTTTCCTCCACTTATTTCATTTTTGTGCCCAAATATAATTCAATGCAATCCGTATGAAAATTAGGATGTCTTCAATGGTTCTCTTGCACTATAGTGTAAGCACCCTATGTTCACTACAGGGCGGCTCACTGGTCTGCTCAGTGGTGACTCTGCATCAGAGTGAGCTGTCTAACAGAGGAGCAGGGGGGCAGAGATGCTGTAAACTATCCTCATGCAGCCTCATCCCAACCCCAGCTTTTGGTTTTCTTTTACGTTCTGCTTTGCAACGCTTAGATCCGGAGCAGCCTGTTCTCTGCCTCGAGGCCTGTTCTCTGTCGGGAGTTTCCTGCAGAGCTCCATGGATGAAGGCAGAGCAGGCTATACTAAAGCACAGTGGAATCAGGGTAACATCTGATAGACACTGGAGTCAATACATGGTCCAGTCGAGGTAACAGTGGCAGTGAAGTCATAAAGGCACTGCAGTAAACCTCCATACCCGAGGATGAAGTCCTCTCTCTGAACCTGGGCTCATCATCATCATCATCATCATCGTGTCCAGTCTGCAGCCAACGGGGCATGTGCGGAGAAATCCTGCAGCTCAGCGTTCGGGATGCGACATGGTGCAGTACATGCAAATTTCCCACTTGTAGTTCAGATACTGAAATAAAATCCCCACTGCTACAGAGAAGATTAGAGAAGTGTTTAAGCAGAACCGAAAGGTTCTGGGTTGGCTATTATTAGTGGTGGGAGTGGCAGGCAGGGTAGAAGAGAGCTCAGCCCAGGGCGTCCCCAGCTGTGGTCCAGAGGGACCCAGCTCTCTGCTGGTTTGCATTCCAGCTGAGCCGCTGATGGCTGGAGCTCCCTCATGCGTGTCTGAAGCGAGCTGCTCTCTTCACTTGGGTCTGCCCTGGGCACCTGGGTTTTAAAAACATCCTCGTGCACCAGCTCGAAGACATGTCCACAGTCCCTCCTGGGCTTGCCGCCCTGGTTGTGTTCGCACGAGCACCTCCGTGCGTGATCGGTGCGTGATGCACACCAGCAGGAGGCAGCGCACATGTCTCGGGTGCCATAGTGATGCCACCTGCAACAGCCTTTTCAGAGCCGAAAGCACATGTAAAAGCCAACCTCGGGCAGAAGACACCAGGTCCAGGGCTGGCAAACCACGGGTTCGGATCATGTGAGTATTCTGGACTGCCTCTCTAGGGATCGGGTCAGGGAGCTCCCGGCTGTAATTCACTTTGCCCGCCAGGAGATGGCAGTATGGGTTCGTGAGCACAGTATTTCCAGCCATCGACTGTCAGGGAGAGGGCAGAGAGGAGGGCTACATTCTGTAATTCGTTTGCAACGCTTGTAACGCAAATAAAGCATTCTGAAGTGATCTGATTGACTTTCCGAAATCTTTCCACCCACATTCACACCCACCTTCATAGTTTCACTGACAGACCAGCTGCCGAGAATCTTGTAGGGCTGTGTGGTTCACGTGGGTATGGTCGCCCCCGCCGCTTCTGCTGGGGACTCGAACCCCGGGCTCCGGCGTCACTCAACAGGGACCCAGCCAGTTGAGCTAATTGATTGATTGATTGAGGTGCACTGATTGATGGATTGATTGATTGCAGTGCACTGATTGATTGGTTGAGGTGCACTGATTGTTGGGGTGATGACTGCTGGCACCTGTGTGTCTGCTGAAGGCTGCAGTCTTATAACAGGGGTTATAACAGTGAGAGGAGATGAGGATCTACCCGCTGTAGTGGAGATTGTGCCCTGGCTGGCTTTGCCCGTTTATCACATTAATAATATAATAACAATCCCTATGGTTTGCACTCTTTCGAAGACGTCTTGTGTTCTGTTGTTACACGTCAGCCCTGTACTGGAGATGGTATAATGCCTGTGTGACGATGCGGCGCTCGAGTCCCAGCGGCCGTGTGTCGCGAGACTGAGGTGCCCGAGCGCGTGGAGGATCCTTTGATCTCCTCCAGCGCGCGCCTCCTGTCTCGTTTGCTATTGTACATCTGAGTCTTTTCATTTCAGATGTGCTTATTTTAACCAAGACACATTGTGGAAGATAATTAAAGGCTCCTTGGTCGAAATATTGCGGGGTTTTTTTTTTCTGCTGTTCGGTGTAGAACTGGACTATGGATCTAAATCCTGTCAAACCCTCAGATACATGCTGTATAGGACCATGTACTTTTCCGACCTGTTTTATTAGGTCGTATTGTATAAAAGCTTTTTTGGGGGGACTATTATTAACTAGGTAACCACGTACTGAAACCATTGAATGTTCAATATAATTAGCAGCAATAATAAATACGCTCTACGTTTACAGCATCTAATCAAAATGAATGTACGCTTATCTAAAACAGGGAAAAAACAACTCTTTGACAAAAATACCTTTAAAAGTTGAACATTAGTTCGTCCTGTGTGTGAAGTAATATACCGTAGAACAAATAGCCCTGTTCAGGTTCTAACCGCTGCAAAGTGCTCAATTTGTCGAGAAAGAAACACCTTGTCACGACATATGTTCGCTCATCATCACGACGCGTGGAAGTTAATTGTGCGATCGCTTATAGCGGGCAGTATGCTGGAACTGGACTGGGAGAAATGCCACCCGAGTCTGCGATACTTCAAGCGAGCGCTCTTGTCTCGGATCTCAGTCCCGTCCGGTCCAGTCCCGGGTCTAGGTCCCCTTGTCCAGAAGGTGTCCGCGTCGTGCGTGATGAGAACTGGAATAAAGAGCGTGGGCTGCTCGCTCCGTACAGACGGTAAATACCGAACCGCCTGCTCCTGCCCTAGGTCAGGCTGATTAAAAGCGACGTCTGGTTTTAAATGTCTGTAAAACACGGGCGCTTTCGATCTGAGTGTTCGACAAGGCGGGCACAGCGGCTGGGTGTCAAACCGGGTGTCAAACAGTCAGTCGGGGCGTGAGTGGGACTGTCACGGGGACGGAGGTGTCGTCGCTGTTCCTGCTCTGACTGAGACGGCTTTCTTCTGGGGTGTTTTTTAACTCGTCTCCGAGAGGACAGGGGTTACGCGCAGGTCGTCTGGTTTTGTTAGAATTTCTTAGAATTCCAGGTTTGCCAGCGCGGCTACACGACCAACAGGTCGCGCTTACAAAGCATTTCGCTTTCGGAGCCTCGTTGAGCGGACTTATTTTCTTACAGACCCTGAAAAGGTTTTATGGGACACCCCCATATCGTCATCTGTCGAAGGGCTCGATATAAAAAGAAGGAAAAAATCGACATTCATGAGTTAACACCTTTAATACCTAAATACTACAGTTACTTTCATTCACGTCTATGGTCCGCTTGTTGTTTCGATCTACATATATACTTTTTTTCAGCAATGTTTTTAACATGTTTTTTTTCTGTCAAGTGCTGTGTGGTGCACCGCATTCTGCTCAAATCACCACCCTGGGAATGAATAAAGTACTGGAGCGCCCTCGCCCGGTGGTGAGGTGGAAGTGCACCTAAGCGCTGAGGGTACCGCAAAGCTTTTTTTCGAACTGAATATTGGAAACCCCAAAGCCGTCTTTTACCCAGCCTAGCCACTTCCGATACAAGCCTATCTGAGCGCTGGAAGAAAAAGAGGTTTGTAAGGTGCTGTAAATAGTACGTGAAAATGGCAGGTTTATTACAGGCCCCGCTCTCTGGCGGTGAGCCCACCTGCCAGCCTCCCGACGGCGCTTCCGGCCTGGGCGCGCGGAGCTGGCAGACACAGGAAGTGGCGCAGACACCGAGCCCGCAGTCCGACTGGAGCGGCATGCGAGAAACACAACCGGATTTGCGAACATGTAGACGACACGAGGGCGCCCAGAAAACACACCTTAACATCTCCGAGCCGGTGCTCCGGGGATGAAAATGAAGCACACGGTCAGCTTGAGGGCGCCCCGCAGCTACCGAGATTTTAGCTGCTCTGCGTCACAGCTGGAAAAAACAACCCTCAACCCGAGCTCTGTGTCGCAACAGCTCCTCTCTACTGTCTTCTCTCCCTCCTCTCCGTATAGTGTCCCCGTCACTATACTGGGGGGTTTAGGACCCACATGGACCACATGGACCACAGGGTGAGCGCCCCCTGCTGGCCCCGCTAACACCTCTTCCAGCAGCAACCTTAGTACCATCCATGTACTGACCAGGCTCACACCTGCTTGACTTCAGTGGGCTGCCAGCTATGAGCTGCAGAGTGATATGGCTGCTGGCCATAAAAGGCTTCATCATGGCATCCAGACCATCTGAGTTTTGGGCTCGGAGCGCCTGGCCTCGTTACCCTGGTTTTATTCCCTGTCCCTGTACCGGATCCCATTCCGGATTTTAACCGTGTTTGTCTCGTCTTGGATGGATCGTTCGGTTTTGGACTTTGGCCTGCGCCCCGGATTTTCCCCTTGGACTGTCTGAACTTGTTTGCCCTTGCCACGCCCCCCAACCACCGGATCACCGCCGTCACGCCCCCCTTTCTGTCAGCCCGTTCTGCTCCTGCTGTGCAGTACGTGGTCTGCAGGAGACCCTGGAATAAATTCACTACCAGCTACCCAATGGACCAGACATCATGTCTGTGCATACAGCCAAATATTCTGGACACATATTTGTTAAAAAAAACAACAAATTTATGGGCCTTAAGAATTCCTAGTCATTCTACCAAGAGGGGTGAATTACGCAGAGATCCAGACTTTGAAACATATTGTTGCAAACAATGAGCAAAATGCAAAACAGCAAGCACCTGTGGGACAGGAAGCTGGTCTGCCGAAGACAGAAAATATCTCAAGAACAACGACAGGAACTGCTCTCTGTACAGCTATCCAGGGGCCGCCAGCAGCGAAGGCAGAATGGAGGTAAAGAAGCCCTGAAATACTAATACCTTTCTCAAAACTGGGAACCATCTTTAGCAGCACAACCGGAACCTGCAGAAATTGCTTCAGTCCTGATTTTTCTACAATAGTCAAATGTATTTTTCCTGGAGCAGCTGTTGCTTTCCAAGGCGCCGTGCAACACTACAGTGTGGTCCGGTGAGGAGAACTGACCCTTTTCTTCTTCTGCTGCCTTTAATTCTTCACTGGCACAGCTGATCTCTCGGGTCTATGCACAGCTACAGCTCCCGTGATGTGGGACCAGGAGACTTGGCCAGGTGAGTTCTCCTCTGCTGAAGAGGGATGGACAATGATCTGGGAATGATATCAATAAATCCAACTTAATGGAAACCTCTCTTCTCCTGCCACGTCTCCCACACGGCCCAGATCAGAACGCTCGTAACAGCAAGCGAAAAGCAAACACGGACACGGACAGTGACCCCGATGTAGTGGCCGGAGGGCAGCTGGACGAAGAGCTGGCCGTCTTGACAGGTCGCCCTCCCTGTCCAGCGGTCTCTCAGTCCTGGAGCGTGGTCAAACCCACGGGCTCTCCCGCCGCTCTGTCTCTGGTCCTCCAGCCGGACGAGGACGCCCCCTGCTGGCTGCTGAAGGAGATGGCGCCCCAGCTCACGGGGGCTTTGACGAGACAGGGGCAGAGGCAGCGGGCGCTGTCCCGCCGCAGGGAGCGGTCCGCCAAGGCGTAGATGAACGGGTTGGCACAGCTGTTGGCGAAGGCCAGGGGCGCCGTGATCTCCATGCCCAGTTGCGCCACCTTGTGGGCCACGCAGGACGGGGAGGAGTCGCGGGCCAGCAGCTGCTGCACTACGCCCACCAGCCGGAAGGTGTTGAAGGGGACCCAGGACAGGACGAAGGCCCCCACCACCAGGAAGATGATCTTGAAGGAGCGACAGAGGTGGGTGTCCAGGCTGGACGAGCGCCTGGCGTGCAGACACAGGGTGCGCGTGATCCTGCAGTAGCAGAGGAGGACGAGGAGGAGAGGGAGGAAGAAGCTGAAGAGCAGGAGCAGCAGGGACTGGCCCGGAGAGGACGAGCCGTCCTCTTCTTGGCACCACATCGCTTCTGTGCCATCCTCCAGTTCCACCCCCTGCAGGACCCGGGCTCTCAGCACGGGCAGGGCGAGCAGGGGGGACACGAGCCACACACTCAGACAGCCCAGCCCCGTGAACAGAGCCCTGCTGAGTCGGCGGTAGAGGCTGGGGTTGACCACCGCCAGGTACCTGCGGAGACAGGAGGGGCAGGGATGTCACCTGGAGGAGCAGATCAGCCTCCAGAGCTGGAGAGCCAAAGGGCAGAGGGATGGACAGGGAGAGGAAGAGATGTGGAAAACACTGCGGCAGGGAGAGGGAGAGCTAAGGAGAACAAGACTCGGGCAAGGAGAGGGAGTAAATGTCTATGTAAATACATTATATGTTAATGTCTTATGATTGTGTCTTTATTGTAAATGTCTGTAGATTTTTGTTTTATGTGAATTGTATTTGTCTTGTTTTGGCAACACTGATTGTGTTCATTGGTCATGCCAATAAAGCACCTTAAATTGAATTGAATTGAAATACAGAGGTGGGCCAAGGGGGAGTTAAGGAGAACAGGAGAGAGAGGTGGAGTGAGAGAGACAAGGTGACAGGGGGAGGAAGAGATAGAGAGAACAGAACAGAGATAAGGAGACAGGACAGAGACAGGGAGAAGGAGAATATGGAGACGGGGAGAGACAAGGAGAAGAGGCCAGAGAGAGGGAGAACTAAGGATTACAGGGAGAGGGAGCGCTAAGGAAAACAGGACAGAGACAGTGAGAACGAGAAATAAGAAGAAGGGCTGAGTGGGGGGGGAAAGGAGACAGAGACAACATTCATGGGAGAGATTTAAAGGGAAAGAAGGAGTGATATATAGATGAAAAGAAGAAGAGGGAGAACAAAGGCAGAGGGAGAGCATGCATGGAATTACATTTATTCATGAAAGACGTTTCTGCTGCTTGATCTGTTTGTTACAACAAAACTGTTTAGTTTCCGCAAACTATTATTTGAGCAGGGAGGGTGTGCTTATTCAATTTACACGGTAACTTTCACCATTTCAGCATTTTCTATTTCAACATTAAATGGCACTTCTGTACTAAGGGGCTGTAATCATGAAGCCACAGTCAGAGCTCAAGGCTGTATCGTCATCATCATCCTGATCTGCTCCGTCACGTCAGGCCGAGAAGGAGGTGTGCATAATTGACCATGGTGCATGTTTGTCTTTATACAAAGAGGAGTGGGTGTGTGGAACAGGCTTCCCGGGCCGGTTGGCTGAGACCTGAACTCTGGGCACCTTTAAGAAAAGGCTGGAGGAAATTTTAGAATCATGTAGCTGCCGAACGGCCGAACGAGCCTGATGGCTGCTATTATTGTTATTATTCTCGTCTCGTTCCGATCACTCCCGCGCCCCGCCAGCCCTCACCTGTCCACACTCACGAAGGTCAGCATCAGCACCCCGACGTTCATGCTGAGGGCGACCAGGAAGGGCGCCCCTTTGCAGCTCAGCTCGCCCGCCCGCCAGGCGCCGCCGCTCAGCTCGCTGTCGATCCAGAAGGGCAGCGCGGTCAGGAACAGCAGGTCCGCGGCGGCCAGGTTGGCGGCCAGCGTCTCGCTGGGGCGCCAGCCTCTCTGGCGCCCCCAGCCGCGCCGCCTCCACCGGGCCCAGAGCGCGGCCAGCAGGGCGAGGTTCCCCGCCACGCCCGCCACGAAGAAGGCGCAGTACAGGCCCACCCGCGCCCTGGCGCTGCCCGCCAGCACGGGCACCTCACAGCCTGAGGCGTTGGCGTCGTAGTCGTAGGTCGTCTCCTCCTGCCACGGGCCGGAGGTGGTGGCTTCTGCAGGGCCTGACATCTGCGCTCCCAGCGCGACTGCGTCCGTCGTGGCCGTCATGGGGGGCTGGTGGGTTCCTCTTCTGGCCAGGCCGCGTGCCAGCGCACGATCAGGCCACTGGGGCTCCCTGTGCCAGGTCCTGGGTCCAGACTTGTGACGCCGCCTGGTTATTTACACACACATCCCCTGGACACTGCTGCTGTCGGGTCTGTGTTGGCGTCTGTTGTGGATCCGTCACCTTCCTTATGCTCCCATGGACGTGGTTGTGTTATACCGTGTTGTGTTGTGTTGTGTTGTGTTGTGTTGTGTTGTGTTGTGCTGCGCTGCATTCACTAAATCGTCTAAGGCCCTAACAAAGTCACCCAGGCAGATTTCTGCAGCCTGAATGGGGAAACAGGGCACAGGTGGAACCTACTGGGAAGATCTGCATCTACAACCAAGAACGGGAGGCACTACTTTACACAAAGGGTGGTGGGAGAGGGGAACACGCTACCTTTAGGTAGCTTTAGGTGTTGCTGTACTGTCCTGGGACTCACAGCTGCTCTGGCGGAGGAAGTCGCACGCTGGGCTGTCGTTGAGCTCGTGCTGGTTTGGTGTTGGTTTTGGTGCTTTTCTACAAAGCAATTCAAAAGCGTTTGTTTAGTGGCTGAGAAGAAAACAGAAGGGTGTCGAGCCGTGCGCCTACACACAAACATCTTGAAAGCTTGTAAGCCTGTGGTGTGGTCTGTGACCACACAACTAAACAACACTACTAAGCAACACAGATGGAGAGAACGACTCGTTTCAAATCTGTAAATCTGCTGTATATGTACTTTGGCGCCGAGCTCAAGAACGCGATGTTTGATATGTGTGTTTGTATCTGTATCAGCCGGACTCCTTACTGCTAAACCTAACGCTCGTAAAGACGTCTTTACAGGAGAGACCGGTGTTCTCCGAGAATATGCTGCGGTCAAGTTCGATATTCATTTTGGAACGTCAATACCATTTTCATGAAACCTCCTAGAGTTATGAAAACACCTGCATTGCGCATAGAGTGATTTGTGAATATTTTCACAGCCTTCACTTGGCATTTTGTTCTGCCCACACGCAAATATTCTGTTGTCAACATCTTTGCAAAGGAATTACATCAAGCCTTCAAGTCAAGTGCATTTCAAAGACCGCGATTTGTGAACATTTTCACAACCTTTGCATTAGCTTAGAAGGCTTAGAAACTGTCTTTTTCTAAACCTTAGCTCATTGATTGATGCGCAATTACGCACCAACTGGAATGGGAAGTTCACCACGCGAGAAATACCGTTTAACAGGTGTTCATGCGAACGACGACAGAGTCAAGGCTGTGAAAACATTCGCAAATCACGCTATGCGCAATGCAAGTGTTTTCATAACTCTCGGAGGTTTCGTGACGACGCTGTTGACGCTCCAAATTGAATATCGAACTTCGAGCTGACTAGACCGAAGCACCGCCCGCCTCCTGCGCGACTCGTTGGATCTGATCTGAGTTTCCGAACGAGCTGTTTCCCTGCGGGTAGGTGTGTGTGGCGCTGCGGTCTGGGCAGATAAACTGTTTACCCACACACACACATACGCCCCTGTCCTGTTTACTCTGGGCGCCAGCCAGCTGGCACTTTAAGAAAGCCGAGTAGAGCAGAGAGTAGAGAGCTTGAAGAGCCCAGCGCACCGGACAGGACACCGCGCTTCCATCCACAGCTCGCGGTCAGTGGCGACGGACTGCAAGACCATTGTGTTGCTACACAAACAAGAAAGAAAAACCAAAACACCCACTCCTTTCTCTCTCTTGTCACGGTACATTTAGAAAGGAAAATTCTGCAGTCCTTCTCGAATGACTTAGCTGCCCTAGCCATGATTCGACTGTCTCTCCGTGTTTTCTAGTTGGGAATAATGTAAATACTCGTAATATATCGCAGGAGCTGTGAATGCAGAAAAACAAAACGTTTTTTGTAAAAACTGGTTTCTCAGGCGGCGCCCAAAAGTGATCAAGGACAGCGTCAGAAATTACAGTAGTAAAATTATTATTACCACTATTGACGCCATATCTCACTTGCAAGGGCATGACATGACTGAAATTATTCGCTAATATTTTTTATATCATTTCAAAAAATTAACGTGATAACCACCTAACTAACCGAATAACGGAATAGTGAAATATAAAACACAGGTTTCAATCTCAGTTTCCGCCAGGAGCAGCTGTCAAGCCGAGAGAACCGGTGAGGCATTTCCCTCAGTCGAGCACCGAATCTAACCGCCTTGAGATCAGCTGTACAGCCCGTCTTCGGCCGAGCCGTGTCCAGCCTCGGGTGTTTGATGTATGAACTGAGCTCAACACCTTTAGTTAGATGAATGTTATATAAATACATTCAAATACAGGTTTTAGCTAAAAATGCATGAGCCTAATACGTTCAGGAGATAATAGGAAGTGGTTTGTAGATTTGGCTGACATTTCAGAACGATTATTAAAGCCATGAGAAAGATTAGCGGTGTAACTCGAATAACGGAATGTGAAACGAGATTTACTGCTGCGCGTTGTGATAAGTGATGTACAGACAACGCGAGCAATTTAAAGCGTCGTGGAAAGAACTGAAAACTGGAACGTGAGCAAAGCCACGGTCAGTTGAGCGCGGTGCCGACAGGCCCTCCAGCCCAGCTGCGTTTGAATCGAAAGAAACTTTCCCCACTGTCGCAGCCTACGGTATACAGTAAATGCTGTGTTTTAGGAAGCGAGTTTAAACTGAGAACAGGAGGCACTTTTTTTACACAAAGGCTGGTGGGAGTGTGGAACAAGCTGCCCAGCCGAGTTGTCGAAGCTGATATCATCGTTTCTTTAAAGACACAACAGGCTGAGATCTTGGTTCAATAGGGAACTTTTTTAATAAAAATATGAATTTATTAATTATACGGTACTGTTATTTGCAACTTACTAAGGTACTACCAGAAGGGCTCGATGGCCTCCCTTCGTCTCTTATGTGCTCGTCTTCTTATCAGGAAAAGATTAAGGCCACGCTGAAAAGTCGAAAAATACAGGTTCCGTTCTTCAGCTCAGACCTCAGTTGTTTTCCCACTTTTTAGCCTCGAATTAACCTGTTACAGAGCCTGACCCGTGTTCTGTCGCCGGGCAGGAGAGGATCCAGAGACGGTTTTCATCAGGTGTTCCGAGCGCTGCAGAGAAAGTCCAGCCGGGCGGTCGACCTGTTATCATCATTATCTCACATTTTATATTGTATTTTTATTCGATACTTCAGAGTGCTCACGCAATACACATTAAAGTGTTTTATTTATAAATGATTCTATTGGTATAATTATTATTGTGCTATTAAATAATCAAATTAATTCTAGTATCTTAATATGGTGTAGTCTTATCTAAAACAGAGCTTCGACGTCTCCTGCGAGTTTTTGTCGCACAGAAACTTGGCTTGTTAATTACCTGGAGAAGCTCCTGGACATAGCACGACCAGAGCGTGCGAGGCAAGCTCTTCCGAACGCAAACTTCTCCGGTTAACCCGGCGGGATTAATTTAATTTATTCCGTCTGTTCATTTTAGAGAGTCTGTAGTGAAGATGCAGATGCACAGAGAAAGTATCAGGTTTTATGTGTTCGTATTGGCTGGTTTATAGTAAATCTGAATCACCTAGCAATCGATTTACACTTTCTAACGTGCACATTTGTTGCTTAACCAAAACACAAGACTAATTTAGTTTAATTTAGATTAATTAATTCGAATTAGTACTTTTAACACTCCTAATTGCTCCAGACTGTTTCACGGACCGATTTAGTCCCTTAGCTCAGGAGCTTAAGAAAGTTTACAAAAGATAGTTCATATATACCTGTTTTTTTTAATTCGTACTTATTCTCACCCATCCGTTTCTTGAAAGAAGCCAGGGTATGGTCTTCAACACAACACGACTTCGGAACAATCGTGCAGAATGATTTCATCAACCATCAGTAGCATTTTGAAAGCACGCACCTAGAGACTATTCGACCGCTCTCGGCTCCCAGCACTGATCAAGTCCGGTCCCGAGGCACAGACGCCGGCGGGGTTGGCCAGTCGAGACCGCGGCACCGGTCGCTCCCGTTGACAGCTTCAAGCCGTTTGATTGCTCTTGACTTTTTTTTCCCCCGTGGAAATTCGGGGAATTCAGCCTGCAAGCAAAAGGCTTTCTTGCCATGTTGAAGAACCGAAAACACGTCCAAAAATGCGTGCCGTTTCGGTTCTGTGACAGTCTCGGGCTCATTGCGTTCCTAGGCGTTCGGGTTGAACGCGAAAGCACCAGGTACGGCACGAGTCCAATAACTCTTATAACTATCTTTATTGTTAATAAAGATATACAGTCTCTTCGTACTGTAGCTACGCCTCCGCGTCTTCGTCTTCAGGACAAAATACGCTCAGGATAAAACAAAATCCCTTCGCCCTTGGACGAAAAAAAAATTGCCGAAACTGAATCGTTGAGGGATGTTGGGAGGGTTGTAAATTTAGTATTGTAGATGAGAGAAGAATTCCTCCCATAGAAAACAGTAATTCCGAAGACCATTTTCGTTCAGTGTAAAAAAAAAAACGTGCCGTGCAGCGAATTGCTAATCTGTTTTCATGCATACACTACTGCGTCAGCGAAATAGCTTAGTTTTAAAATATTAATTTAACTAGATAATGGCGATACTTGATAAACAACACAGTGTTGTTAAATAAGTACATACAATATCAGACTTGTTCAGGAAGAAAAACACGAAACACTCCTGAACGCGCATTTTTCAATCTGACTATAGACAGCTAGACGCACCTTGTGTGATGTTTTTTTTTTTTCCTAAGAAATGCCGGTTTCGTTTGTTTGAGAATTTCGACTTTAGTGCCGAATGAAGTAAAAACTGAGTGTGAAGCTCCCCAAGTGTCTCGTGAACTTTTCACCCCGGGGGCTGCGGGGGCGAGCAGACTCCGGTTATCAGTCAGTAGCGTGACAAGAGCGGCCCGCGGACACATCAAAGCGGCCGAGAGTCCCCCGGGCGCGTTCCGCCGAGAGGCACCGCGCCGGCCGCGTGTTCAGGCCGCCGGCTTCAACAGCTGACACCGAGGCGACGGGATCTCTGTTCTAACGAAAACACAAGAAGAGCGCACCCACTGCCCACTCCAGGACACAGCGCGGCTCCGAGCACCGGTTTAGCGACTGCGACGGGACGGCGGACAAAACGAGCTGATGTTGGGACAGCACTGTTACCGAGGGGCAGAATCAGGTCCGCAGTCGCAGTCCGAGTGCCTGGCGCAGAGTAATCACTGTGTGTGATTAATTATTATTCGGGCAGCCTGAAGTATTACTACTATAGTTATTATTTTATTATTATCGGTGGTGGTGTTTATATTGGTTTTATTATATTATTAATTTATTAAGTAACGCGCTTGTAACCAACGTGAAATTGTGATTCTTATTATGTTTGTTAATAATAACAATAATGATCATGCTGATTAAGATGATAATAATCAAGTACATAAATTAATGGCCTTATGCTTTAATATTTATTTACATTAAATAGTATTTGATTAAATATGTATTTTTTACTATTCTTGTTGTTGTTGTTTGTTGCTAGTGTTTATCGGAATATTTCACATTTGCTGGTGCAGGTGTCGCGTGGCTGGTGTTTGTGAGGAGAGGCAGGGTGAATCGCAGAACGAGAAATTAAAAAGACGAGGAGCCTTCTACATTAGTACAACAGATAATATTAACACCATCGAATACTAATTACTGTCAATACCAGAAATTAATTATTATGCAGTAAATCTTTATTTAGCTCATTAACAAGCGCTTTACAATCCATGAATATATGATACGCTAACGATCACATTGCTCACGAAACACCGCAAGCGCTTGACGTGCCCAGCTGAGGGAGTCAGATTTCGGGACGACCGATTGGCGAATTTCTCAGCTTGCGCGCGGCCCTACGGGGCTGAGCGTGTCCCTCTGCGCGCGAGACCGAACACGTTCAGACCGGAAGGTCAGCTGAGCCCGGGCGAGCTGCCCCTCCGCTCATTTCGCGGTCCAGAGCTGAAGGAATTAGACACGGCCGTCGCCGATCAGAAATCTTACTGCCGTCACCGCTGGACCGGACACGGTGGTAGCCGAGGAGACACCCTGACACATTGTTAAGAAGTGAGCGCACTGTGAAAACTGCCCAGAGCACCCCCAACCACTGGGGGAGATTATACTGGACAAGCGGGGTACAGGTCTGTCTGTCAGCCGAGCTCTGCACAGTCGGAGAACATTACAACAAAGCCAGGTTATAAAAAGCGCTTTCGTCGCGTTCCTGGCATCATCATCATCATCATTATTAATTATTATTATTATTATTATTTGGCTGTTATTATAATTTTAAGGCGACTATCTCCAGCAAACGTCCGCAGAAATAGCTACAGCATTAGAGACAAATCGCTCACGCGTCGTTTGTTTAAACGAATTCCCAACTAAATGCACGAAACGTGCGTCACTGCGATTGCGACTGTTCTCGGGCAGTGAAGACCAACGACTTTCCAATCCGCCGAGAGCAGGCTCTGATCGGACGCGCCGCCAGTCCCGCATCGCCATCACACACGATGCAAGAGTGTTTGTCAAAGGCGTTTCACCATCAGAATAATGTATGTATAGGAACAAGCGAAACATTCTTCCATGCGTGTATTCCGTATAAGGAAAGAAAAGAGACACAACGTTTCGGCTGTGGAGAAGTCTCCACTCTCCACGGCCGAAATGTCTGTTTTTTGTTCTTTCAGCATGGGATGCACTTTTACTTGTTACCTTGCAGCCTACGCGTGCTGACGCAGCTCCCTACCGAAATGTGTCTAATATTCATTACAAAGACGTCCCGAACGCCGTTGCTACGAATTGTAATGTTTCTGATCAGAACACGTCTTGACTCATCAACCCACACTTTAGCCAGTGGCACCCGGTTTATTGATAACTCTGACTGTGTGAGGAGGAGACGAGGTGCTCTCGAGTTAAACCCCGCTCCTCAGAGTGGCCCACGCGTGTCCTCTCTCCCGCTGGAGCCCTCGCGTGAGCTCCCGGCGTGGCGGCGCGCGGCGGCCCTACCTGCTCCGCTCGGCGTTCTCGCGCATCTGCAGCCGGGCCGGCACGGGTAGCGTGCTGTCAGCGCGTGCACGCAAGAGACCCACCCTGAGCGCTTCCGAAACCTGCGCATTCAGCTAAATTAAACTTCTGCCGCCCTTCGTTCCAGAGATAAAGGTTTAAAGGGGCACGGGCCAGGGTTGACGCGCATCGTCCTTTTAAAGGCACATTATATTTAAAAAAAAATCTCAAACAAGAATATCCCCCAGAGCTTTGAAGAAGCTGCGTGTTTCTAAAACGAATAATCAGATTCTTATCAGGCAGTTTCACACAACGTTTGAAAAACGGCAAAGCGAACGTCTGGGTCTGAACGTGTCGGACGGTTGGACTCTTACTCAGATTCAGGAGCTGGGAGAGAATCACAAGACATTCATTAAACCTTTATTTATTATGAAATTTATTGTTCATACAGAATATTCAGAGAGGATTCCTCAGTAATAAACACACACAAACACAGTGAGAGAGAGAGGAGATCACAGAGACTCCCTCAGTAATAAACACACACAACAGGACAGGAGACACAGTGAGAGAGAGAGGAGATCACAGAGACTCCCTCAGTAATAAACACACACAACAGGACAGGAGACACAGTGAGAGAGAGAGAGGAGATCACAGAGAATCGTTCAGTAATAAACACAACAGGACAGGAGACACAGTAAAAGACAGGAGGTAACAGTAAGAAACGCACAGCGGGACAGGAGACACAGTGATAGAGAGGAGAGGACAGAGAATCCTCCAGTAAAAAACACACACAACAGGGCAGGAGACACAGTGAGAGAGGAGAGGACAGGGACAGGGAGAGACGCAGCGGGATGAGAGACCTGAGGAAAAGCAGGCGGCTGTATGCGGCGCTCTTCCCTCTGGAGCGGAAGATCCACACGCGGCGTGATCTTCTGTAGAGTACAGTGGGTCACAGCGAGCGTGATCATCCTCTTTCGAAACATTCACAGATCACTCCTTTCTCAGGCTCGCTATAAACTCCATTTAGCATTATTAACTTACTACTCCGAATGTTTTGGTCGATTTCTTCTCTTACTAATCCCACCCCGCAAATCCAGTCTTGGCAAAACCGACCATTAAAAATAAATCACGGCTGAGCTCCGGGACCTCTTCCAGCACAGATTCAGCACAGAGGAGTGACGCGACGATAATGCCGTCTCGTGTGTCTAGTGCTCAGGTACGGAGGCGTGTACTCGTTTTTACCGGCGCAGCTGAACCTCTCGACCAGAGAGCAGCAGTAATTGATTAAATGTGCGGAATAACGCGACCGGGCTCTCCCGACCGCCGGTACACCAGCGCCCCCTGTCGGGCTCCCCGCCCCGCCGGTGCACCAGCGCCCCCTGTCGGGCTCCCCGCCCCGTCGCAGCGCTTGGCATGGCGGTGGTGCGCGGCGCTCCGGGAAGCCGCGAGATTCTTGAAAGGGCCTGTGGCTGCACGACTTACTGAGCGCTGCAGTAACCCTCGCTCACAGATGAGCGTCTATAATAATAATAATAATAATAATAATAAGCGTCTTGTTTATTCTATACTACCACTTTCATTACCTTAAATGCACTTTACAAAACCGCAATCCCTCTCTCTTTAACCTGCCTCAAAGCTCATGCCCGACAGACAGACCAGACAGGAAATAAACTGAATTCAGAAGAACGGCTGAAAACTGGCCGGTGATGTTCAAAAGATGAAGACTTTTTTTTTTTGTAGCCGCAGACCGTAAACCGCTACTCAGAAGAGACGCTGGTTTTCGAAAGGAAAATGCACACACGAACACTGGGCGAACCGAACTCTTCTTCTCCAGTCGGCGTGTGAGGCTCAGACACGCTCGGGAACTCCGGTCCGAGCCGCTCGGAGGGCTCGCGAGGTCTGGCCCCTACCGTTCGCACGCCAGGCCGAGCCGAGCCGAGCAGAGCCGAGCCGTCTAGCTGCTGAACTCGTGAACTTTTCACCCCGGGGGCTGCGGGGGCGAGCAGACTCCGGTTATCAGTCAGTAGCGTGACAAGAGCAGCTCGCGGACACCTCACAGCGGCAGAGAGTCCCCCGCTGTGAAGCACGCGCTTGGTATTATTTAATAATGCTTTCACAATCGGTGCGGTTATTTGACTCTTTATTTCTAAGAATGACCACGAGGATGAGGCTGGCGACAGCGATGATAATGATGAAAGTGGTTGGTCAACTGCACATTTGCTAATATCATTTAACAACGAGTTCATAACGTGTGGAATATTGTAGATTATAGGGTTTATTCCGTGCTGAACAGAGAAGAAGGAAACACGACGTTTCGGCTGTGGAGCCTTCTTCGGGTCTGATCACCACCGGAACCGCTGAAAGGCTCCACAGCCGAAACGTTGTGTTTCCTTTCTTCTCTTTTCCACATGGAATCAACCTTAACTTGTTCCCTTGCAGCCTACGCATGCTGACGCAGCTCCCTGCTTGAACTATTTTACATCGAGTTTACCATTAGAGTGGCGTGATGGCACAGTGGTTAGCACTGCAGTGCTGAGACCCTGGGCTCAACTCCTATCTGTGTGGAGTTTGCGTGTTCTCCCCAATCTCTTGTGGGTTTCCTCCCACAGTTCAAAGGCATGCTGGGACTGTAGGGCAATTGGCTTCTGGGAAAATTCGCCCTGGTGTGTGTGTGTGTGTCCTGTGATGGACTGGCGTCCTGTCCAGGGTGTACCCTGCCTTGCGCCCGTTACTTTCTGGGATAGTCTGGCTCCCCTGTTATCCTGAATTGAATAAAGCAGTCAGGAAGTGTATGGGTGGAAATGTATTATTAATTACAGAGAGAATGATGACAATAATGATAAAGATGAAGATGACAATGACACTGAGGGTGGTAGAACGATGGCGACGAACCACTACCTTAATTATCAGGTTCATTCAAGACTCAATAATTCTTGATCAGCAGATACAGTTATTTTTATATATTTAAAAATTGTCATCCTTCAAGGAGTAATTACAGCATTTTCCCCAGTCCTTGGATGCGTTCAAACTTGTCAGTTTTCATTTCATTTTTCACTAACGTCACAAAATTACGCATCACATGAGTCAAAAGACAAAAGGAAAAAGAGAAAACATTTCACAGGTTTCACAGGTTTTAACACCTTCAGTGTTTCTTTCAGTTTTGATAGGAAGGTGAATGTCTGGGTCTGAAATCGTCTGAGGGCTGAAGCCTCATTCAAAATCAAAAGGCAAAAACAAGCTTTCCTGCCAGACCAGCCCTTCGTGGTTATTTTAGGAATTTTTCATGGTGAGCTGGAAATAATAGAGTCACAAAAAGACAGAGAGACAAAGAAAAGAAAGAAAAAGCAAAAATAAAACACACATCTCATACAAAATACAATACTACATTACAGCGCATCTAGAAATCCACAATTTACCACTACATACTTCTACACTGGTTGGAGTAGTTCAAGTAGGGAGCTGTGTCAGCATGCGCAGGATGCAAAGGGAAGAGTAAATATTTATTCCAGGCTGAAAAGAGAAGAAAGAAAACACAACGTTTCGGCCGTGGAGCCTTCACCTGACTGACACCCGAAGAAGGCTCCACAGCCGAAATGTTGTGTTTCTTTTCTTGTCTTTTCAGCCTGGAAGAAACCTTTACTTGTTCTTCTATATTGGTGTTGAGCCTCAGGATAGGAACTCCTCTGGAAGCACTCTTTTCTAGATTGCACACATCTCAACACACAGAGAGAAGCTCAACCAGGGGGGAGGCTGTGCTGGAGCCCTCACTGATAATGTTCAGAGTTTTCAGATTTAAACATGTTGGATATATGGAGGCAACAGATAGTGAGTCACGGCCAGTTATATTACAAGCTGTGGACCACTCTGTTAACTGAAATCTAAATTAAATTGATATTTTAATGATACAGAATAGTGAGGGAGAGAATCTCTCAGTCACAAACACAGCAGGACAGGAGACACAGTGAGAGAGAGTAGATACCAGAAAATCCCTCAGTAATGAACACACACAGCAGGACAGGAGACAGTGAGAGACAGGAGAGGACAGAGAATTCCTCAGTAATAAACACATGCAACAGGACAGGAGACACAGTGAGAGTGAGGAGGTGACAGAATCCCTCAGTAATAAACACACACAACCGAACAGGAGACACAGTGCGAGACAATAGATCACAGAGTAATAAAAACATACAAGAGTATAGTTAAGGCATGAAGTTCTTAACCACGTGATTCTCTGTGCTCCTAATCTGCAGTTCCAAAATACTCCTCTAGGTGTCTCTGTAGGCGTTATATACTCAGGCACTAGGCAATAAACACACGAACTGTGATAAATCAAAACTATTATATTTATTGATACAATTAAAAAGATGTGCAAGGACAATTTAAAAAGGCTGTTTGAAATACTTCACTGTGTGAAACAGTCTAACTATATCCACCTTCTCTACTGGACACAGACAAATGTAAATTATTTTTACATATATCATTATTAGCATTATTTTACAAAGCCTACAATCTATCACCAGATCCCTCTTGAAAGATACAGACAATAGTATGACCTTTTAAACCACAAAGCTCACACTTAGATAGGTTCTTTGTAGTTCCTGTATCACAACCTTGGTGGCACATGGCATCTTGGAAAGTCTAAACACTTTTGAAGTGGGTTTTAGAAACACGACTCACACAGTGCAAATTACACGATCAAAGCTTACAGCGCCATTGTGCAAGGCCTGTTACCAACTCCAGCATTTTGAACAAGAAACACCCACATAGCAGCCCTTGCAAGTGAAATATAGTTGAATAATCTGCTGAAAAAAGACAAGCTTGTTGCAACCGTGCAAAAAAGAACTAATTTCTGAAAGATGCAATCTAACAGCAAAGCTGTGCTCTACCCAGAGCATTCAAATACTTTTTGTTTTCTTAGCAACACTTTGTGGCAATGCAGTTTTAAAGCAGCTGGACCATTGCTGAAGGATATATGGAGTTCGGAGACTCAGCTTTTCCTAAATGTGACACGTGGTAAGAGTCTCAGTGGTCTAATACAGTAGTTAGAGAAACAAAATGTCAGAGTCCACGAAACATGCAATAAAACCAAGCAATTAAAACCATCAAAGGCAGAGGCACAAACAGCACGAGAAACAGATTTTGATGTTAAAATCTTCAGCGAGGTTGCTGAAACACTGGATGTTTCCTTCAATTCAATCAATTTAAAGCAAGAACACTTTTCAGTCAACCAGCTCTCCCATTTGTCCAGCAGCCACACCCTAGTGTGTGTCTGGATGTGCTAATGCAGCCAGGTGACACGCTGGCGACACAGGGAGTCAGGAAGAGGCTGGGAGCTAGTTCTGCACAGGCTGGGAGTCAGTTTTGGAGTCCTGTGCCATCCTGAGAAAACATCTGGATACCCTTCCGTGCATTTTCTCTTTTTTCAGAAATAAACCTTTTTAAATAAGAGATCCCATGTAGGTTTATTGTCAGCGCCCAGCTGTAGAGCCAGACCACTGCCTGGGCGGGACCTGCATGTCGTCACAACTGACAGGCGGCCTAGCGAATTGCTACATAGAAGCTCTCCAGGAAGTCGCCCAGTGGGTTGATGGGAGATGTAGTTTACATAAGGCAGTGCAGCGTCTCTGAGCCAACCTGACCAATATCAGCTAGTTTTCCAATACCCAGAAAGCAGGAAGCACATACTACCTGTTATTGGGAATCAGGGTAACACTTACACAGTTAAACAACATAGGTCAGGTTTACCTAGCTCCATGAGTACTGACAGAATTATTCCTTCAAATGGACAGGTTTTCATACTGCAGCTTCAATCTATAAAAGAAGAATTGTTAAACCAGCTGAAAAAGATTAGATTTAGCTGCAAAATTAAAATTTGGCTACTTTTTTGCACTGAACTGTGACATTTAAGTGGTCTTTACTAACTGCCTTTTCATAGTTTTTACACTTTATGCTGTTGTTTTTCTGAAGGCAGCTCCAATGTAATGATGTTACTGCACTGGTTTCTGATTTTGGTCTTTTCTGTCTATTCAGAAAAGGCACAACTATTCTATTGACGCACTGCTATGTGATAATCACTTTGATATATAGTATAATTTTCTGTGATATGACTGAATGAAATGGATGCACGGTTAAAAGTCAATACCCAAACACCTCACCAAATTAGATGGTTAAGGTGCTCAGCTGGGACAATTGTTTAAAAAGTAACTTTAGATGAACATATAGCAACCTTTTCGAGCTAGAGGAGTGAAATACAGGTATAAAACTAGTCCAATACTCTAGGCCCTAAAAATAGGACAGAAGACACTGAAAAGGAAGTGATATCGTAGGAGCGCATGTCTGGGTATTATGAAGTCAGTTCTCTGAATTAAGCATTAGACTGGCAGCTCTGGGTGTCTGGTTGTGTCTGGTTGTCTCAGTCTTTCTACAGTGATTTCATTTCCTTTCCTGAAATGTCACAGTAGAGTAATGAAGTTCATTCTCCTGTGGAAACAAAAAGAAGATGTGTGAGTCCTATTTTATAACAAAGCTCTGGGATAGATCGATTATCGGCTCAAAAGCTTCAGTCATAAAACCTTGCTGTCAGAGACTGAGAGATACTCACAGTGGCATCGGATGGCACCATGAAAGAGACTCTTGGGGTGTCTGCAGCCCGCTGTCCTGTGAGAGGAAACAGATTTCAGACTCAGATCAGAACCAGACCAGCGGGACACAGTGGATACGGCACTAGACCGTGAGATACTCCCAGC